CTTTTCCATTTACCCTCACTCTTTTGATCTCCTGGTTTTTAAACTATGTGATTTGTTGATGATTCCCAAATGGATATACCCAGCCTGGACCTTACCCTGAATTCCAGACTTACATACCCTGTTGCCTCACCTAGCATCTGCGTTTGGCTATTTATTCATTTATTTTTTTTATTTCAGAATATTATGGGGGTACAAACGTTTTGGTTATATGAATGAGTGCAGAATGAGTCAAAGTTAAAAGTGTGTCCATCACCCAGATTGTGTGCATTGTACCGTTAAGTATAAATTCACCCATCCCCTTCTCCCCCCTCCCAACTGCTTGATTTCCATTGAATTTTACTGCCATATGTGCACATGAATGTTCATCATTTACTTCCAATTTCGTAGTGAGTTCATTTGGTTTTCATTTTTCCATTCTTGCGATACTTCACTTAAAATGATGGTCTCCAGTCCCATCCAGGTTATTACAAAAGGTATTAGTTCACCATGTTTTTATGGCTGAATAGTACTCCATGGTACACATATACCACATTTGATTAATCCATTCATGTATCAATGGGCACTCGGGTTGTTTCCACATCTTTGCTATTGTGAATTGTGCTGCTATAAACATTCAAGTGCAAGTGTCTTTTTCATAGAATGTCTTTTTTTCATTTGGGTAAATACCCCGTAGTGGGATTATTGGATCAAATGGTAGGTCTACTTTTAGTTCTTTGAGGTATCTCTGTACTACTTTCCATAGAGATTGGATTCGAATTACCATCTTGTGGCCACTTGCTTTCAGCTCCCTTTAGTATTTCTTGTAAAGCAGGGCTGCTAACAATAAATTCTTTCAGTTTTTGTTCATCTGAGAAAGTCACAGGGCTAGCTGATGAAAGATAATTTTTTTAAAAGGAGAAATACAGTTAATAAATTCAAAAGGAATGATAGAATGAAAACATCACCATTATGTAACCTCTAATGAAATAAATGGTCCTAAACGGGGCACGGTGGCATGCGCCTGTAGTCCCAGCTACCTGGGAAGCTGAGGCAAGAGGATCACTTGGGCCCAAGAGTTCAAAGCCAGCCTGGACAACATAGGAGACCTTGTATCAAAAAAAAAAAGGTGGGTGGGTGGAGATCTAGGGAAGAATTATCAATGGATAGATTACAGGTAACAGGGATGCATTAGTTTGATGGAAACTTTGTAATCACTGAATCAGGCTGACAAAACCTGAACCCATTGATCAATTATAGCATCATTTAAAAGTGTACGTTTAGACATTAGTAAATATATAATGCAACCTATGAAGTATTTTTGCCCTCCCCCAACAAAATCCTAATTTAATCAAGCATCTGCAATCTACTAATTCACAGTAAACACAAGAGTTAGAGGAATAAATTAAATGACACCACAAGGAAGCAACTGGTGAAACCCAGAATTGCAGATATTCTACAGGACAAGTGACATGGTTTCTTCAACAAAAAATGGTGTGGAAAAAAAAAAGGAAGATGAAATGTTAACAATTAAGAGAGACTTAAGAGGGCCAGGTGTGGTGGCTCACACCTGTAATCCCAGCACTTTGGGAGGCTGAGGCAGGAGTATTGCTTGAGGCCAGGGGTTTGAGAGGTCGGGCATGGTGGTGCATACCTGTAGTCCTAGCTACTTGGGAGGCTAAGGCAGGAGGATTGCTTCGTTTGAGCCCAGAAGGTGGAGGTTACAGTGAGCTATGATCATGCCACTGCACTCCACCCTGGGTGACAAAGTGAGACCTGTCTCTAAAAATAAAAGAGAGAGAGACTTAAAAAACAAATTCAATATGTGAACTTTGGATCCTGATTTGAACAAGCAAACTCTAAGAAGATATTTCTGAGGCATTCAAAGAAATATAAATATGGGCTGGGTATTCAAATATGTTAAGTAATTATTGTTTATTTTGGTAGATTTGATAATGGCATTGTGCTTATATTTTTTAAATATCCTACATCAAATTGGTAAAATTGATGTATTTATAATAGTGCTAACAAAAGAATCACTGTTTACCCTTGGGGTTGCCAACTCATTATGATGAAAACTGGTTTGGCCAATTGCTTCCTTGCTATGTCATTTAACTTATTCCTCTATCCCTCGTATTGAAGTATTAATTTTATTTTTCCTGTCCAAGTGTATTTCAGAATAATAAAGTAGCTAATGAAGGAAACATACTCCTTTATGGAAGGATCCCAGGTGATAAATTTAGAAGGAATAATGCAATTACAGAATTACCACTTTGCAACTCCAAATGAAATAATGAATTCTGGCAATGATCAATGGTGATTATTAAAACTATTTGGTGAAGGCTAATGGGAAACTTCATAATGGATAGATCAGGCTAACAACACCTGAACCCACTAGATATTTCCAATATTCCTAGAATGTTAAACATCCCTAAGGTTATGTGACACTTGATATGATACAAGAGTAAATACGTGCGCAGCATCACCTACGAAGTAGACTTTACAAAAAAAAAAGTCCTGAATCAGAAAGAGCCTCTAGATCTAAATCCCATTTAATAGAGTAAATACAGAGGATAGAGGAACATGTTAAATGATACCATGGAGATGTAAACAGACAAGTCCAGAATTTCAGAAATGGTAGAGAACAAATGACCCAATTTCTTCCACAATTAAATAACAAGAAAAAAGAAGAGAGAGAAGAAATAGAGACTTAGGAAACATATGAAATGCCATTTATGAATCTTTTTTTGGATCCTGATGCAAATAAACCAACTACATATGATATATTTGGGAACAATTAGGAAAATTTGAACATTGAGCAATTATTAGATGATATTAGTAAATAATTAGAAGTTATAAGGAATTCAATTATATTAAGGAATTATTGTCAATTTTTCCAGGTATAATAATGTTGTAGTTATGTTTTTCTAAAAAGACCTTTTTTAAATTTTTTGACTTTATATTTTGATTTTCTGATTTGAACAAATGAGTTTCAAAATGTTACGAGATGATCAGGAAAATTTGAACAGTGGCTGAATATTTGATGATATTAAGGAATTATTTTCTTCTTTGTACAATATGATAATGATATCATGGCTGTATTCTTAAAGCTTGTGTCTTTCATATTTACATACTGAAACGCCAACCATCATTACATAGTGATAAGGTTTTTTTAAAGGGTCCTTAAATGCTTACAGAAATATTTATGGATAGAATGATATTATGCCTGGAATTTGCTTTAAAATAATCCAGGGTTTTGTTGTTGTTGTTGTTGTTATTGTTGCTGTTGGGGGGGAGGGGTTATAGATGAAATAAGATGGATCGGATGTTGCTGACTATCGAAGTTGAGGGATGATTATACATAAAGGTTCATTAAACATTTTCTCAACTTTTGTGTATGTTTGAAATTTTCCACAATAGAAAAATTTTTAAATGAATAGTTCTATCCACGATTCTCTAGAACAGTGGTCCCCGATCTCTTTGGCCATTTTCGTGGACGACAATTTTTCCACGGACCAGGGAGGGGAGGATGGTTTGGGGATGATTCAAGCACATTTACATTTATTGTGCATTTTATTCCTATTATTATTACATTGCAATATATAATGAAATAATTATACAACTCCCCATAGATTGGGCACCCTCGCTCTAGAAGTGTAAGAACCGCTAAGGGGAGTGGCAGGAAGCGTTGACGGATGGGTAGGAACAAGCCCTGGACAGGTCTCGGGAGGGCACTGTTCTGGGGGACTCCTAGTTCAGTTGTGATCAAGACTAAGCTGTAAAATGATATGTGTTTTCTTGAGCAACTTTTAGCTAGGCAGATGTCAGGATGAAGTTCAAGTTCTGGTGTTTAATACTTCCTCCCACTTGACCAAGTCCATTTTATTTTTCCAGTTCCACATTAATTCAAGTCTCTCCCATCCTACAAGATCCAGTTCAAGTCCTACCTCTTCCTCACTGACCTCTTGGCTGGTGGCGTCCCTTTCCCCGTATCTTACCCTTTCTTTCACTTGCTCATTAGTTCCCTCATGTTGTTAGTTGATTGCTTCCTATATCTGTTTTCCCAGCCTGAGTGTAGGCTTCTTAAAATAAGGGACCATGACGTATTTTTAAAATTCTCTCAGCACCAAAAATAATACTACCCATAAAGTCGGAGCTTAATTAATACTTGAATAAATAAGGTTCTGAAGAGCTCCCCAAAGGAGACCAATTAATGGCTTTTGAGCTAAGAGTGGCGGTGGGGTAGGTTCTTGATCCCGCTCTCCTGGTAGTTTCCAAAAACCCCACTCTTATTCCTATTGTAAGGCTGTTGGAAACTTTGGCCACCTCAAGTACGCTAAGCAGGAAATCAGTGCATCTGGCACAACACAGGAGTCTCAAATATTTTTTGTTAAGGTTGGAATTTAAACTGAAGGAATTTTCCCCTAGTGGTTGTAATCGCCACGTGCGCGTTGTGCACAGCGCAGGCCTGGACTTCTCACTCTCACGTCTGCTACCTGAGAGGTCACATCTGCAAAGCTTGGGGTACGTACAACACAAACAGCTGCAGGTTTTAGGCAAATATTAATATTTCAGCGTATCCTTGGAACAGGAAAATGAAATACTCACGGAGGCTCATCAAGGTACACGGTCGGGTCACGCTGCTATGAACTTTTACTCCAAGGCTTTTAGTGGTTAAAAGATAGTAAGATTCATTCCAACCAATGAGTAAAAATTATACAAACATATGCCTGAGCAAAACATCAGTAACACTCTTGTTTGAAAAACACTGCACGGAAAACAAAAAGCAGAAGAGTAACGTTTTCGTTTCCGCGCAGCCAGCTCTGGTCCGCCCACCTCTCAGCTCGGGTCACTGCCACCATCTAACACCCAGCCAACCGGGAGAAGAGCGCCCTCAGGCACTTTCCTGGCGGGCCCCTGGGGCACCAGAGCGCGCTTGGAGCCAGGCCCCGGCGGGCGCCACCGAGCGCAGACCTCCCGCGCGTCCTAGAGCAGCCGAGCGGGACCTAGCCGGCAGTGCACTTCCGCCTGCGCGCGTCGCCGCCCCGCGGACGGCTGGGCCTCGGTGCGGGCCTGCGCCTCCCTCGGCTCCTGTCGCGGGCCTCGGGGAGAGGGTGAGTGGGGCAGGGCGCGCCGGAGGGGGGCGGGCGCGCTTCCTCGGGACTCGCCGGCTCGTCCAGGCCCGGCGCGGAGGACCCAGGCCCCGGGAGCGCCCGGAGCGAAAATGCGCCTCATCCACCGCCCCGGGCCGGAGCCTCGGTCGCCCCGCGCTGCTGCTGCCGCCGCCCACCCGCCTTTTGCGAGACTCACTCCGTCTCGTAGGGGAGCCTGGGCTCTCTAGTGGCGGGAGACCTCTGGCCCTAGCTGTGCCTCGGCCACTCGCTTTCTCTCTCTGGGCCACGGTTTTTTCAGCTCTAAAATGGAGGACGGTAGTAGCTGCCCTGCGTACACCACAGGGTGATTGCAGGGCTGACACTGCCTGCCTGGAAACCGAGGAGCGCTGTTTCTCAACCCGGCAGCCATTAAACTCCTTTGGGAAGCCTTCCAAATGCTGAGGCTTCGTCGTCACCGGGTGATTGTGATCTGCTGCCGGGACCGAAACCACGGGCCCAGAGTATGAAACGACAGTACTGTGATCATGACCGGAATATGCAGTTCGTCGAAAGTGGATCACAGTCTCGAGAAAGCAAACAGCAGCTATTTTCTCCAAGAAGACAGGGTCCTAATCTGGTTTGCGCATTTTTAATTCCTAGTGCCTAAAATGGTGCATGTCCCAAAACATGCACCACTGATCAAATAAATTAATTTCTAACTACTTCCCAACTTACACTGGGAGGGTGTTGCTTATATTTGGTTCGATTTTAAGCTTTTTATTATGGAAACTTTAAAACATATACAAAAATAGTATACTGAACTCCCAATTCATGATCAGCCTTGTTTCATCTATAACCCTCATCCCCCTAGTATTTTAAAGCAAATCCGAAATGTACCATTCCATCCGTTACGTACTTATGTTTATAAAGCACAATAACTCCTTTTTTAAACATAAAGCCATTATTAGTCTAATTAGCATTTCATATTATCTTCTATCCAGTCAACGTTTACATTTTTCCAGTTATCTCCCCCACTCCCCATCAGTTTGTCCAAATCAGGATCTAGACAAACTACACGTTACATTTGGTTGATGTCTCCTGGATTTCTTTTAAGCTCTTTATTCCCTCCTTATTTTTTTACTTGTATTTTACTTGAACAAGTCATTTGTCCTGTAAAGTTTCTACATCCTGGATTTTGCGTTTTCCATACCTGTGGTTTCCTTTAATAAGCAGGTATTTAAATCTGCAGCCCTTTTCAGGTTTCAGGTTCTACTTTTTAGCACGAAAACTTCGTGGGTACTGTGTATTTCATACTGCATCACATCAGGAGTAAATAAGATCTTGTCTTTCTATGTGGACCTTTTATGTACAAATAGCACCACAGAGTAACCAAATAAGTGACCAGGGAATTATAGAAGGATGCCAGCTAATAACTGCAGAAGGAATGAGAGAATATCACCTTTTGTCAACCGCTAATGAGATAATGGACCCTGGCAATGATCACTAGTGGCTGTTAACATTAGAGAAAGAGAGACAGCCAGACAATGCATGCCTCTTGATGGAAGCCCCTCATACCACTTATCCAGTATTCTTGGAGTAATTGGAGATGGGGCAGGGGATATAGTTGAAACAAGATTCCCCATGAGTTGATAATTGTTGAAGCTCAGTGATGGATATGTGGTAATGCATTATACTAATCTATTTCTGTATGTGTTTGGAATTTTTCATAATAAAACATTTTTTGAAAAGATTGGCCAGTTGACTAGTGAGTTCAGGTCAGTCTGATGCAATCGATTACAGTTCTCCGTTAGCCTTTCACTAAATGGTACTCAAATCTGACTCCATGTTAGAATCATGGGGGAATTTTTTTTCCTCTCCTTTTTAAATTTTTAATATTAAAATACATGTCTCACTTGCAGAATTTCCTGTCTAATTGTTCTGGGATGGAGCCCAATCATTGATACGGTGTAAAAGCTCTCCAGGTGATTCTAATTATGCTCTCAGGGTTACGTACCACTGGTCTAGATCCATTATTTGTTAGGGATGGCAAAGTGATTATTATCCCTTCTGCATTTTATTAGTTGTTGCAAATTTTAACTTTCTACATTCTGTTTATTCTCACCTGTCTGGAAAACTATAATCCAATAGGGAAGCCTCAGCAAATTAAGCTCCTTAATTATCAGAGGAAGACTTGATCTTGGAGGTGAAAATGTAGAGTAATACATGGAAAGGTAGCAATAACCTCAAGGCTTGTTGTGTGTAGGATAGAGATGTACCACTTTGTGTGTGAAAGTTGTGGGGAACAAGTTGTTGGGGAGCTGTTTCCCCAAATGGCAAGGAAGACTAGGTGATGTGTAGTTAGAAAAGCATGTTTGTCCTTATGACACATTTTTAAAAAATCATCAGTATTAAATAAATTAAATATAATACATTTAAATTAAATAGATAAGATGTCACTCATTGGAACCTAAAACTATCCAAAGATTTAAAACTAAAATTAATAATGCCCCTCCTATCCCCTGCCTATCACTTTAATTACCTCTGAGATAACCAGTATTAACAGTATGGTGTGTATCCTTCCACACCAGACTTTGTCTTTTATAAGTATAGGGGCTTAGGGGATTGTTATAAAAATGAAATCATACCACAGCTATCTGTAACTTTTCTCACTGTCATCCCTCCAAAACAATAGTTTCAGACCTGACTCTTTATTAGCTGTAGAATACATAGTTAATAGTTAGTAGAATAATAGTATGAATGTATAGTAAAATATTCAACCCTTTCCCTATTGACATATTCAAATTGCTTCCATGGTTTAGTCACCTTAAAAGCACCACAATAAACATCATTGTACTTAGATCCTTTGATTCTATAGGGTAGATTCCCAAAAATGGGATTGCTGGGTTAAAGCATATTTAACAGCATTATTATTGGTAACATATATATCAATAAATTATTCTCCCAGAGCATAATAGCAATTCATACCTCCACCACCAGTAACTTTGAGAGTACCCATTTGCCCTCATCCTGGTTAGCACTACCTAGCATTGCTTCGTTGATGTTTGCCAGCTGTTGTGTAGAAAATGGTCTCTCTTTTTTCTTTAATTTGCATTGCGCTAACTACCTGGAGACTGAGCACTTTTCTTTTTCTTTACCTTTTTTTTGTTTTATTTTTATGGATGCATAATAGTTGTCTGAGCACTTTTCATGCTTTTGGCCATTTGGATTTCTTCTGTGATTCCTGTATTATCCTTTGCCTGTTTTTCTATTGTATTAATATTTTTTGAATGCGTCAGGATGAATTTTTTCTTAGGGGCGTTTACCCTTTGTCATAAGGGGTGCAGTTTTCTCCAGATGCTTTTTGTCCTTTGACTTTTTGAGTCTTTTGATATATAAAAAGATTTTATGTAGTGAAAATGTCTGTTTTTTTAATTTCTGGGTTTCCTGTCTTGCCAATAAGAGCTTTTTCATCACCAAAGTTAAACATGTACAAATTCTCCTAATTTTTTCAACATACTGGATTTTTTACATTTAAATTTCAAACCCACGTGGAATGTATTTTTATCTACAATGCCAAGTGAGCATCTTGCTTTGCTTTTTTCTGCAAGAACAGCCAACTATGTCAGTTCTGTTCATTAAATAAGCCACCCTTTTTGTTTTTTTGTTTGTTTTTTTAGACAAGAGTCTCACTCTGTTGCCAGGGCTAGAGTGCTGTGGCATCAGCCTAGCTCATAGCAACCTCAAACACCTGGACTCAAGCCATCCTCCTGCCTCAGCCTCCCTAGTAGTTGGGACTACAAGTGCATACCACCATGTGCGGCTAATTTTTTTATTTTTAGTAGAGACAGGATCTTGCTCCTGCTCAGGCTGGTCTCAAACTCCTTCCCTCAAGCAATCCTCCTGCCTTGGCCTCCCTGGGTGCTAGGATTACAGGTGTGAGCAATCGCACCAGACCCTTAAACCACCCTTTAAATACCTTTGTTATTTACCGTATTGATTCCCATACATACTTGGTTTATTTATGGACTTTCCCTTCCCTTTCATCTCTATTTATGTGCCAATATTCTGTTTTAATCACATCTGATTAGTGTAGTAAATGTTAGTATCTAGAAAGGCAGGTCATTACTTACTACTTTTTGTGATTTTCTTGTCCATTCTCAGACATGTATTTTTCTACTTCCATGTGATTTTTGGATTGTTCTTGTTCCAAGAGAAATCCCATTGGAAATCTAATAGGATTTGCACCAAACATACCAACGTTAATTTTGGAAAGATGAACATTTCCATGATACCAAGTCTTCCTATCAAGGAACATAATGCGTCTCTCCATTATAAGTTGGTTTATTTATTTATTGTTCTTGTGAATGGGATTTTTTTTTTCCCATTACTGTTTTTATCTGGTTATTGCTAGGGCTGAGAAAAATGATTGAAATTTCTGTATATTTAGCTCTCTGTCAAATTTTCTTATTATAGTAGTTTTTCTTAAAATTATTATGTTTTCCTCCTTGCCATTGATGTGGATAATCTATAATTGGTTGGGTATATGTTTCAGTTCATTCTCATTTATTCTATTTGATACACATCTTCCATCACAGAAATATATCAGAGATATTAGATGTGGCCAGAAATAGTGAAAGGAACAGTGCCGGGAGTTGGCAGGAATCCACACATTCAATAGGTTATTGCTGATCAGTTAAAATAGCAGAGTTCCAAGTCCTAACGAGTCATGGAACCTGACATGTAGGGAGTGAGACACTTGCACAGCATTGTTATGAAGTATCAGCGTTACTGTAGCGTGTATAGAGCATTACTGTTTGTGATCATTCAGAGAAAGGGCTGATCACCATGGGCACCAGGAACACCATTTCGAAAGCATCATTAAATACCATCTCTTGGCCAGAATCTCAACTAGAATTGTTGTTTAGTGTTTATTAGAAGGACTTAAAAAAAACAAGTGGAACGTAGAGTTCCCATGTACCCTCTCACCCCTCACCCCCCAGTTTCTCTTGTGTTAACATCTTGGTTTAGTATGGTACATTTGTTACAGTTGATGAGCCAATATTGATATACTTTTAATAACTAAAGTTTACATTAGGGTTCATTCACTCTTGTACATTCTGTGTACAGTTGGCCATTGTATAATGATGTGTGTCTGTCCTAACTGTATCCTACAGAATAGTTTCACTAAAAATCCCATTCTCCACCTATTCATTCTTCCCTCCCTCCCCCGTGTCACTGGCAAACCCTGATCTTTTCACTATCTCCATAGTTTTGCCTTTTAGAGAACATCATATAGTTGTAATTCAGCTATAGTTTTTAATTGATTGGGTTTAGTTTTTATTTGTGTGTGTAAGCAATGGTACAAAGTTTGGTAATTGTAGTTTTTAGCTGATTAAGATTTATTGAAATCTTACTTTGAATTTGTGTGGAAAACTATTAGAAAACAGGAATCCAGACGGTTCTGGATGAACAAAAAATAAATAACAGTAAATCTCCCAGGAATGTGTTTTTGGTGCAGTGATATGAAATAATTCCCAGGTGATCTTTCTGTTGCAGGGTGGAAGATGTCTATGGATGTGACGTTTCTGGGGACGGGCGCAGCATACCCATCTCCAACCCGGGGTGCCTCTGCTGTGGTCCTTCGCTGTGAGGGCGAGTGCTGGCTCTTTGACTGTGGGGAGGGAACACAGACACAGCTTATGAAAAGCCAGCTGAAAGCAGGTTAGTGTGCCTTCAACTCTCTCATTAAGATTATCTTTGGTCTGCTTCATTTTCTTGGCTCTCTTTGGGCCTTTTGTTCAGAAACAGCCCTGACAGTTGTATCTCCCTTCAGTGCTAGAGCTCTGAGAGACTTGAAAGGCCCTCAGGCATCTGGCCACACCCACTGAACTTCATTACCTTATTTATTTGCTTTTCATTCATCCTGGAAATGTTGAGAGCAAGGATTTATGTAAGCTTGGCAGGTGGAGGATGGAGTAGGATACATCAGGCATATTAGGTAGACACTGCCCTAGCAAGGGAGCAGTGTCTACTGTCTACAATACATACTTATTTCCGCCAGAAGATAGTTGTCATGAGAGCATACAAAGGACAATAAATGTTCAGAGGAGGGAGATGTACTTTTCCACTTGAGTATCAGGGTAAGCATCTCAGAGAGGTTGGCCTGTGAGTTGTTGAAGGAGGAGGAGGCTGGGGAGAAGAAGGGCATTATAGCCAGAGGGAATGGAGTAAGCAGAGGCTGGCCCCTGGGAACTAGAGGACTCCAGTGGTGAAAAGCCTCAGCCCAGAGTCAGGCAGACCTGGGTTCCGGTCCCAGCTGTGTCTTTGGCTTGTGACCTTAGCAGATTAGCAAACTTAAAATTTACTTTCCTCATGTCGAAAATGGGGATAAAAACTCTACTCAGAAAGGGTGTTGTGGCCGGGCGCGGTGGCTCACGCCTGTAATCCTAGCACTCTGGGAGGCCGAGGCGGGCGGATTGTTTGAGCTCAGGAGTTCGAGACCAGCCTGAGCAAGAGCGAGACCCCGTCTCTACCAAAAAATAGAAAGAAATTAATTGGACAGCTAAAAATATATAGAAAAAAATTAGCCAGGCATGGTGGCGCATGCCTGTAGTCCCAGCTACTCGGGAGGCTAAGGCAGTAGGATCACTTGAGCCCAGGAGTTTGAGGTTGCTGTGAGCTAGGATGAAGCCACAGCACTCTAGCCCAGGCAACACAGTGAGACTCTGTCTCAAAAAAAAAAAAATAAATAAAAATAAAAATAAAAGAAAGGGTGTTGTGGCCGGGCATGGTGGCTCACGTCTGTAATCCTAGCACTCTGGGAGGCTGAGGTGGGAGGATCGCTTGAGGCCAGGAGTTTGAGACCAGCCTGAGCAAGACTGAGACCCTGTCTCTACAAAAAATAGAAATATTAGCTGGAATGGTGGCAGGCATCTCTAGTCCCAGCTACTCAGGAGGCTGATGGAGGAGGATCACTTGAGCCCAGGAGTTTGAGGTTGCAGTGAGCTGTGATAAGGCCACTGCACTCCAGCCTGGGCAACAGAGTGAAACCCTGTCTGGAAAAAAAAAAAGGGTGTTGTGGGAATTATGTAAAATAATTCTTTCTCTGTGCTATTGCCTCTTTCTTGTTAGTTAAATCTTAGCCATATCCTCAGAGGCTTTTCCTGAACCTCCTGGGTTAAGTAGTTTCTCCCTCACTCCAGTCATTTTTTTTTACTTCATCTTATTTTTATTGACATCTTAGCATCATCAATGTCTGGAATTATGTTATTTAAGTAATTTGTTTCTGTGTTTTCTATCTCCCTGTACTATAAAGTAAGTCGAATGATCATTTATGTACCTAGTAGTTGCCTAATAAATGTCTGTTCCATTAGTGAATAGATAAGACATTTAGCAGCTTAGTATAGTGCCTCTCACTTATTAGGTCTTAATAGATAGTAGTTATTAAAGTCATTATTCCTACAATTCATCACAGTACCTGGCACTTGATGACTAAAGGAAGGATACTTTCAGTGTCCAATGATATCTTGGTCTAGTGATGGAAACTGACATCCAAACAGATCGTCATCAATCATGTAATATAAATAGAATAATAGAGGTGTTTTCTAAATACCTTTGGAGCACAAAGGAGGGGGATGCTAACTGTGCCTGTGCATTAAGAGAAGGCATCCCAGAGACTGTGACAGTTGAGCTAGGATCCAAGGGATAACTAGAAGTTTTTGTGGGGGGAGAAGTAGGGATAGACATTCAAGGAACAGACAAAGTAAGCAACAAGTAAGGCAGTTTCCAGGAAAGAAATGGCATGTTTGGGAACACCAGGTACTTGGCTAGGCTAGATGGGACTACGAATGCTGAAAAGGAAAGTGAGGACTGACTGTGGAGTCCTCTGTTGGCATAGTAAGGTATTTGGACTTTATTATTCTACTGGCAGTAAGGAACCATTAAATGTTTTTAAGCAGGAGAATGATGTGATCTGATTTGTGTTTTAGGACAGAGTTTTCTGATGGCACATGCATTGGGAGAGAGAGAATAACACTGGGGAGACCGGTTCCAAGGCAGCTGCAATTCATTTGAGAAAGAGAGAGAGAGAGATTGAGAGAGAATATGAATGAGGGTGTTGAAGCAAGAAGTAGAGATACAGATGAAGATGAGAGACTCAATTTAAGTAGTACTTGTATGGCCGGGTGTGGTGGCTCACGCCTGTAATCCGAGCACTCTGGGAGGCCAAGGTGGGAGCATCGCTTGAGCTCAGGAGTTCAAGACCAACCTGAGCCAGAGTGAGACCCCATGTCTACTAAAAATATAAAAATTAGCCAGGCGTCATGGTGTGTACCTATAGTCCCAGCTACTCAGGAGGCTAAAGCAGGAGGATTGCTTGAGCCCAGGAGTTTGAGGTTGCTGTGACACAGGGTCTCACTCTGTCACCCAGGCTAGAGTGCAGTGGCATCATCGAAGCTCACTGCAGCCTCAAACTCAATGGGCTCAAGTGAGCCTCCTGCCTCAGCTTCCCGAAGTGCTAGGATTATAGGCATGAGCTACTGTGCCCAGCCTGCATCATCATTTTTAGAGGATGCTTATTATTCCACTCCTCTGTGGATGACATATTCTCCCATGACTTCCCTGTTCTCAAGTGAAAGAGAACTCATGCATTTTTCTGTCTTCATTTGATAGCTTCCTCATACCTTTGATAATTGTGGTTACCATTCTCCTTCTCCCTCTGAAATCAAGTTTCTTGAAAAATAAAATGTTTATCTCCTTGAAACTGTGATAACAGTAGGATGTAATTCTTCACTTACTAATTTGCCTCACTTGCTTTGGGTTCACAGGTTGTTTTCGTGTTTGGCTTTGTTTTGGAGTAGATAGGGAAGGGCCCAGGAAGTCTGACATTGGCAGTTTTCAGGCCAACAGGGGATCTGGACTCAGCGACTGCTATAGTTTCTTTTGTGTGCACAGTCCTCCGGTCACACTTGCAGGTGGCTTTGCAGCCTGGACAGGGGGAAGGGGAAATGAAAGGATTCTGGAAGTCAAAAAACAGAAAAACAAGGATGAAAAAGAGAAAAGAAAAAGGAGCATATTGAGGAAACTTCTAAGTGCCTCCTGGGGATTCTCAAGGTCCAAAATCAGCCCCCGCCCAGTCTGCTGTTCTCTGCCACTGGGGCCTGGCCTCGGTGTAGTAGTTCTGGGAAGACTCGCTTGGAGAGCACTTGATGTCATAGGGTAAATCACAGTAATAAACTATTCCTGTTCTTCTATGGTATCAACAAGTGGTTCCTGTACACTTACAGTATCAAATGTTTACAATAGGTGAGCCTTGAGCAAAGAACCAGAAGCCTCTGTTACACTGGAAATGTGTTAGCTGTGATTGTTACTTTGGAAATGCTGTGTGGTGCATCTCAGAAAATGCTGATGTGGCACCCTGCCACATACAGCAGTAAATTCAGTTTACCATTGGCTAAATCAAGTTATGACCTAAGCCAATATGCACTGAAAAAGCTGTTGCGTTAGTTTAGACTGAATGGAAGAGAAGGGCCCAAGTACCCTACGTGATACCATAGGTAATCTGCCCTGCAGTCTGCATTCTGGCATCCATTGCCTACCTTCCCTCTCAGTTCCTCACCTTGCTCCTCTCCTACCTCCCTTTCCCCTCCCTCCCTCACCCTCCTTCCTTGTTCTCTGTCCCCTTCAACCTCACCCAGACAAGAAGGCTCTGCCTTGAGTGGTTAATCCCTGTCCATTGTAGGGAGTCCTTAAAAGGCAGTTTTGGGTTCAGGCACTGGTCCAATCAATTGGAGTCAGTGGAACATTTTGTTTTGTTGGAGGTACATGTTTGCTATTCTTAGAAGGAGCAGTAGGGGGCAGTGTAACTGCTAAATGCTCTGACGCTTGAGGCCTATGTACTTAAGTGAAATATTTTGGTCTACTTGTATATTTCACATTTTCAAGTGGGAGAATATATAGGACAATACTCTGAAAACTGTAAAACTATTTAATTTGAAGATTTTTTTTATGAAAAAATTTTTTTATGAAAAAGTTACATCTTAATAAAATCATCCAGTAAAATAAAGCCTGTCTTTCTTGCTTCTGGAATCATGTAACAAGATGTAAACGAATAAGTTTACCATGGAAAGAAGAACTTCGAAATTCAATTGACGACTTTTTATGTGAATTGTTATGCTTGTTTCAAATAGCTTTGTACGGGTTTTTATTTCTGAAAAATTTCCACACGTATTTCTCTGTCTCGATCAAAAGGGAGAATTACCAAGATTTTCATCACTCATCTTCATGGAGACCATTTCTTTGGCCTTCCTGGGCTCCTCTGCACAATTAGCCTGCAAAGCAGCTCCGTGGTTGCCAAACAGCCCATTGAAATCTATGGCCCTGTAGGACTTCGGGACTTTATCTGGCGAACCATGGAACTGTCTCACACAGAGTTGGTCTTCCCTTATGTGGTCCATGAGCTGGTGCCTACAGCGGATCAATGTCCTGCAGAAGAGCTAAAGGAATTTGCACATGTGAATATAGCAGACAGCCCTCCCAAAGAGGGACAAGGAAGAACTATCCTATTAGACTCAGAAGAAAACTCATACCTCCTGGTTGATGATGAACAGTTCGTTGTAAAAGCATTTCGCCTCTTTCACAGAATTCCCTCCTTTGGGTTTTCAGTCGTGGAAAAGAAACGCCCAGGTAAACTCAATGCACAGAAACTAAAAGACCTTGGTAAGTGGGTTTTTTTTTTTTTTCCCTTCTCCTCAGTCAGGCTATTGTTTTTTGTTTGTTTGTTTTAAACAACTAATGACATGTAAAATCAGGCTATTGTTAACTGAAGCTATTAGAAGTGTCCCAGAATCCCAGGCCTATATGCCAGACCTGAAACTGAGATTTTCTCCACTTACTTCCTTTGCCCTAAGTTTTCTTATTAAGGGAAATATTAATACATGAGGCCAAAATACACTATTTAGAGCAAAATCAAATATATATTTGAATCCTTCTTTCTTCACTTCCTTGGATCCACATTCTTAGTCTGTTTTATCTTCAGCTTACACTGTCTTGGTTGGCCAGGTAGTTTGGGTCGTAGTAGTGGTTGTTTTAGGTCCAGGCTTTATTTTTTCATGTCTTCCTTTTGATATGTTTTCTGTAACATCTTTGGTCTTAGAATTTTTGCCATGTTTCTTAACCTTACAGCTGCAACCAGCTACGTTCAGGGTTTCCTTCTCTTTCTACTTTGCTTACTCATTCAGCGTTCGCTAAGTTAACTTGGTATTCAGAACATTATGCCTCAATCGTTTTTACATGCCAGGGTTCATCACAGTTGAAAGCAACCATACAAACGTGAGCTTGGGGCCCATCTAAGGCCTCATACCTCCTGCGTGCATGCATGAGGAGGTCTTCAGCTCCTCTTGCAAGGCACAGTCCCAGGGCATTATACCTCTAGTATCACCACCTACCTTGGCACGGTGTGGCAGTACTTGGAAAAAGCAGGGTAGCTGGGAGTTGCTCTGAACCTGTTCTGGTTTGAGGGGCTACCAGATGGAAAAGAAAAAGGAAAAAAAGCATGGTGGTGTTTTTTTTAATGTCCTTTTTTTAATATATGCAGTCTCTTCCTCAACTAAAACAAAATGCTACATAAAGAGGAAACGTGACTTAAGGCAAGGGTATTTTTATTGTTTAAAAGCCTGTGGAAATACTATTATATTTGGAAACTTTAAAACGTGATCTGTGTTGGAATTGATGATCACATTATACTTGTTTGTAAGTACTGTCCAGACTGATGTTATTCCAGATTAATATGAGACTTAAGCCAAGTTTGGTAAATGTGAAACTGTCCCTATCTACCAAGTAGATTGATCATGTATGATTAGCTGAAACTCCTTGATCTTGTGATGCAAACAATCCTAACAATTTTTTTTTTATTAAGTTAGTTAGTTTGTAGGTACCTATCTTGATTAGGCATTGATCATATCATTACTTAAATGTACTCTCTAATTTTACCCAAAGGTGAGTTTATTAAAGAAAGCACTCCCAAAAACTATTATTTCCATGCATAGCGAGAATCAAGACTGTTTTCTTGACTGTGTAAGGTCTTAGTGGGATTTAAGACCTTAAAAATCATCTGACATGTATGCATAGGAAATGTTTTAAATACTAAGACATTACTAATATCAATCAACACAGAACTTTAAAAAATGTATAAATATTCCAGTTTTCCATGAGTAGTAAAACACTTAACAACAATTGTGAAAAGAATTGGATGCTTTTTCCATTAGCTGTTTGTGATGCTGTTAAAATAGACTCTTAAATGGTCATACATTCCATTCCCATGATATAATGTTATCTGCCTTCATCATTAGGTGTTCCGCCAGGTCCTGCCTATGGAAAGCTGAAAAATGGAATTTCTGTTGTTCTGGAAAATGGGGTTACAGTTTTTCCCCAGGATGTCTTAAAAAAGCCTATCGCTGGAAGAAAAATCTGCATCTTGGGTGACTGTTCCGGGGTTGTGGGTGATGGAGGAGTGAAGCTGTGCTTTGAAGCAGACCTGTTGATCCATGAAGCGACCTTGGATGACGCCCAGATGGACAAAGCAAAGGAGCACGGCCACAGCACACCACAGATGGCAGCAACATTTGCAAAGTTGTGCCATGCAAAGAGGCTGGTTCTGACTCACTTCAGTCAGAGGTACAAACCAGTTGCCTTGGCCAGAGAAGGAGAAACAGATGGCATTGTAGAACTAAAAAAGCAAGCTGAATCAGTGTTAGATCTCCAAGAAGTGACTCTAGCAGAAGATTTTATGGTGATTGGCATTCCAATCAAGAAGTAAATCAGTGTTCCTGAACACATATTGACATATCTGTGAACCGGACCTATTGTCAAGTTTTTAATTTTTTGTTTTTAGTCTGAAATCATTTGGGCCCTGTTAATCCTAAAAAGGATGGAGCTGCATTGCTGAACTGACTCAGTAGCTAGAGGGGAACAAGATTTTTGATAATAAATCATTTTTAAAAGAACAAAACCCCAGCATTCTTCTTAAAGTCCAAATTTGACAAAATGATAGACTATTCGGGTATACTTGTCCTTTTGTGCTGCTGCCACAGATATAAGCCAATACTCCATGCAATCTTCGGCTTAGCTTCTGCTCAGCATTTTTGCTGTTGTTCACAAAGTACACAGAGCCTGGCCCTCATGGCTAAAAATAGTATTTTGGCAGTTTATGTTGAATCTGTTTATGTTATTAACAGAATAGGGAGAAATGTAACGAGACATTGGATATACAGGATTGATGATAGCACGACCATAGCTTTGCTGGAATACTGAATGTAGGATTGGGCTAGGTGTTTATCTTAGTATTTATTGAACTTTCTGGTTTGTTCTTAACTCGTGATTCTCAACTGGAGTGCTACTGCTCCCCTAGAAAGAGTTTTGTATTGGGGATGTTTTCTTGTCACAATGACTGGAGGGGTAGTGATGGTGGTACTACTACTACTGGTATTTAGTTGGCAGGGGTCAGGGATGCTAGATGTCCTGCAAAGTTTGGGTCAGTCCTGTACAATAAAGAATCATCTCACCCCAAAATGCAAATTGCAGGCCCACTGAGATACACAGCAAGTTGAAAACTTACACCCCAATGTGAATATACTTTACCAAAATTAGTGACATAATGATTTGAATTACCGGGTAAGTCAAATCTTACAACAAATCCTAAAGTGTGAATATGTTGGAATTGGAATGTCATATCAAGTATCATTTGAAAGAAATGAGCCATCAAGTGAAGCTTATGAATCTGGAGGTAGAAATGGTATCTGTTGAACTGAGGTTTAATTTACACGTCCCTATTAATAATTCTTTGAGCACAATTTTAATAAATGTTCATTCTAAAACAGCTCTTCCTTCTGAGCTGCCTTCCACCTCCCTTCTGTCTGCCATGCCACGATGTATTTCTGACTCACTTGCCCCACAATATTTCTCAAAATTGTGTTCCACGGAAAGCTAGTCTTAAGTGCCGATTCATTCAAAAAGGCTCCCTAATCAAATCAGCTTGGGAAGCCCTTTATTCTCTGCATCCTTCTGGGAGTGGTCCTGCCCATCAGCATGTTAAAAACAGTATGCTTCGAATGCCCATAAACCAGTCTTCGGTGCCAGAAAGACCTGATATCGTAGTCCCATTCTGTACCTTATGGTGGTACCTCTGTGTGGACAAGAGCAGGTTCCTTACTCTCTCTGAATTTCTTCAGCATGTCCATCTCTAAAATGGGAAAAATAATAAGACCTACTTGGTAGGATTGTTGTGAAGGTTAAATGGGACAATGTATATAAAGAACATAGCACATTGCTTCAAGGTGCTGAGAATCCTGCAGTACAGAGGCCTGTCAGCTCTGCTGAACCCTTTCTCAATCTTGTTGCACCATATACTATCTGTTAACATGTCAAGAACCTAGAGAGTTTGGCAGTACAAACGTTGTCATAGTGTATACTGTTAAATTCCTCTGGGTTCTGGGGCTTCTCTGGTCAAAATTTTGATTCCTGGCTAGTTGCGGAGACTCCAAAGTAGCAATGATCAAGATAGGTCTAGTTGCTTAAGACACCAGTCATTCTGATGCAGTCTGTAGAATGGTCTGATTCTGTCCAACTTTACACTCTGCCCCAAAAGTGCCAAAGTTTGATCAAGCTTAAAGTGTATCTTGGTTTCCAAACTCAATTCAAATGAACATTAATTAGATGCTTACTATGCTCAAACCCATACAAGAGGCTAAGACTAATATATGTACTGCATGGAGCCCTTGAGGGTAGAGACTGTGTCTTAGTCACCTTTACATTCTTACAAATGTCCACCTGCAGTAAGCACTCAAATATTTTTTCAACAAAATGAAGCCTTGATAACATGAGTGTACAAACTTTAGGACATAATTCTATGTTTAGCCCTTTTCATTATTAGGGGAACTTGTCAAAAAAAATTAAACCGTAGCTGGGTTTGGTGATGCATACCTATAGTCCCAGCTACTTGGGAGGCCGAGACAGGAGGATTGCTTGAGCCCAGGAGTTTGAGGTTGCAGTGAACTATGATGATGCCACTGCACTCTAGTCAGGGCAACAGAGCAAGATTCTGTCTCAAAAAAAAAAAAAAATTAAGCCATGTGGTTGGTGGTACCCCATTCACTGAGTACAAAATAAGTACCAGGCTTCATTGTGTTGGGAGTACATAAATGAATAGACAAATGACAAAATTCCAGCTCTAAGCTCATCGTCTAGTGGTAGAGACAGATAAGTAAACCAAAGTAAATCTTCAGTTACTGCAAATGTTCTCTTGATCTTGTAGCCTGGCACTCAATTTTGCTGTTCCTGAACATTACTTGGTAGGTGACTTGAACTATGCCCTTAGAATCAGGCTCTATAAATATATATGGGCTAAGCCCTCGGAGACAGTGGGAACATGGAAATGAATTGATATGTTGGATCAAGTATAGGATATCAGTCCATGGTGAGATCTTTTTCTAGACCCTCTTCTAGCCTAGAATTTGCTTTCAATGCTAGGAACATTCTAAGAATTTGTGGAACTAGAATTAAAATGAAGCTTCTATTGGACTTCTCAGAACCTGTTATCTACTCATGGTTTTGACTGTATTGTGCCCCTAATTTATTTGATCACTGAATCCTCTTTTTGCCAAGGAACATCTTGGAACATTAGACATGCTGTTCCTAATACTTCTCAAAATGATTCTATTTATGTTTTTTAGCTGCACAATTTATTGAGGTAATGATTTCCATATCTACACTTAGTATAGTACTTTCTTTGTCCTAAACTGACTTTTATTGTCAGGAATCCATAGAAACCTATTTATTTTAAATAAAAAATATGCATTCCTCAGTTCTCAAGTTATTTACACTTGCCTAAATAGATGCTAAGTCAGCTCCATTTTCTAATATTTATGCCTCATTAATGCATTTTAAATGAACTTTGAATCATAAAAGCAACATATGCTTGGTAGAGAATTCAGGACTCAAGAAAGGAAGACAATTATTCATAATCCCAGCACTCAAAGAAAGCTGTTATTTCTGATCCAGTGGTCCTCAAACTGAGGTGTGAGTCAGGATTACTCAGGGTGTGTGGGTAGACAGATCCTTACGCTCTGCTTACAAAGACTCCAATTCAGTAGGTCTGGTGTGGTACCTAAGAATCTGCATTTTAATGAGCCTGACAGGTGATTCTGAAGTATATAGGTGGCAGACCACATTGGGAGGAAAAAAAACTTTTCTCGATGCATTTTAAAAAATATATAGATATTTTATATATGCTTCTACATATGTTTATATGTGTGCACATTACACAAATGTAACTTGTATTTTTACATATAGCTTAACCTCCTCAACTGTTTTTCTCATTTAACATACTATGAGCATTTCCCCGCCACACAAAGTGTTCTCTGAAAGCACAAATTTAATGATTTTATATTATCCCATTCTATAGATGTATCATTTAGCCATTTTCCTATTTGGGTGCATTGAGATTGTTTTCCATTGTTATAAATAATACTGTTGTGAATAGTCTTCTGCGTAAATCTTTTTATCTCTGAGTATTTCCTTCCTTGGAATTGATTTCTCTGAGGGTGAAAACATCTGACTTATTTTCGTAGACTGGGTAGGAATCACCCGCTTGTTTTCATGGTCATTTGTACTCCTAGCAGCAGCATAGGATTGGCCTATTTTACTACTCCATCCACAGATCAATAGAGTATCATCAATTAGTGACCTTTCTAACACTTCTTCCTCAAGACATTAGTCCTATAAAGATTATTTTTGCCTCATAGTGCAAATAACTTTATTATGTCTTTCAGCTAGCACGTACTGTGATTTCCTTGAATATTCTCGTGCCAGCTTAAGAATTTGGTAGTTTTTACTTAAAGGGGTAAAAATCCTTACCCCTCAGTCCGTGACAGATGTACAGTGAAGGTACTTTTGTACTTACAAAGGTATAAATTTCCAGTGAGATGTACTGCTTCTGTCTTTATTGATTGATGGATTTTTCAAGTAATGAATGAGTCAGTATTTTTCATATATGGGAAGACCAAAAAGGAAGTGCTGGTAATGCGCTGAGTGTTCCCTCTTGGCAGGATAAGAATAGAGTTTAAGTGGAGGGGGGGGAATGTGGGGTAAGAGCAAGAAATTCTTTTCTTCTTGTAGTAGGAAGTAAATGATGTCTAAAATTGAAAAATAAATAGCACTTCAAGCATACTATGTTTTTTAAAAGCAGGGGGGAGGGACGACCACCAGATGAATAGCTAAGAGTGGAGGAAGGGGTCTTTAGTGGAATGGGCCAGGGGATGGGGCAGGATGGTCAGGGGACTGCTGTTTTTTATAAACCTACTAGTACTAGTACTATTTGATATTCTTAACTATTTGTATGTGTGTATTCATTGGGTTGAAAATTGTATTAAAATACACACACAGATAAGATGATACTCTGGATAATTATGTCAACTGCTTGTCTCCACGTGGATGCTCCAGGTGGCAGATAGTTCCTCTCAAGCCTTTGTGACATTCCAGTCCCTTCTCCATACTGCAGCCAGAGTAATTTTTTTCAAAATGCAAATATGAGCCTCACACTCCCCCTGCTTGGAACTTTTCAGTGGTCTTGTCTTACCCAACTTTCCAACCTAATCTTACTCCACATTTTCGCAGCTCCAGCCACGTGGGCCTTCTTTCAGCCCTTTGTCAGGGCTTTTTGTTGTCACAAAGCCTTTGCATGGCCGGTTTTTTCAGCCTGGAATGCTCTTTCTCCTCTCCCCAAATTAACCCTTACTGGGCCTTCAGGTCGAAGCCTCATAGAAACTTTCCCTGGCTCCCTGTTAGGTAGCATATTCCTCTCACAGCACCTGCACCCTACCTTCCTGGTGCTTGTCACTTAATATTTTCATTTTGCTTCTGTGAGTATTTGATGTTTCTCTTTCCCACTAGTGTCGTCAGCTTTACAAGAACACAACTGTCTGATTTTGTTTCCCTTTGTGCCTAGCCCCGTGCCTGGA